TCGTCCACCAGGACACCCAGGTCTCTCTCCGCAGAGCTGCTCTCCAGCAGGTCAGCCCCAGCCTGTACTGATGCCTGGGGTTGTTCCTCCCCAGGTGCAGGACCCTGCATTTGCCTTTGTTGAACCTCATCAGGTTCCTCTCTGCCCAACTTTCCAGCCTATCCAGGTCACGCTGAATGGCAGCACAGCCTTCCGGTGTGTCTACCACTCCTCCCAGTTTGGTGTCATCAGCAAACTTCCTTGCAAGCTGCTTCTCTCAACAGCTCAGGATGCTGTAATGCTACTTTGCAGATAGATGACAGCAATAACAAAGTCTCCAAGACATGGAAAAAGAGTCACCATCTCTGGCAAACAAAGGATTGAGACTTGGACTGCCTATCCTTTGTTAGGTTATCTGACTAAGCAAACACAAAGCCCAAGCAAGGATCAGAGGAACAATGATAGGTGGAGGAACGCTAGTAATGTAATCAGTGGGAAAACCTAATCAGTGAAAATTAGAGCACACTGAATTGGCTGTTTCCTAAGATCATCCACGGGGAAGGATGAGACCATTGTCCTTGGTGTGAAATGCACCAAGTTGAGTCAATGGGGAAACTCTTTAATCAGAAAACTTTGCTAACAAAAGGGGGCGATCTCCTACAGCAGCACAGGGCTTGTTATGAGATGTAGGAAGAAGAGCATTTGGGGACTGTGTAGAATTTAGGATGGGAGTTTTGAAGGGGATCGTGGGAATGTGTAAAGATTGTTAGAGCATGTTTAGTGGAAGGACCAAAGATGGGGAGAGGGAGTAATCCAGGTGGATTTAAGAGGAATAAGTGTGGAAAAAAATAGAAGGAAAAGGGGAAGAGGTGCCAGATGAGTGTAAACATGTCTGGTCAGTAGCTTGTCTGACTGAGCTCAGTGCTTGAGCAGCACAATCTGTCCTCTCTTCTCATAGAATCTGATTTCTGACTACCTTCTGTGTGGGTGTGCTCTCTGCTTTAGATGTGTATGTATGAACACTAGAGAGCAGGAGGAGAGGTCTGAGTGCCAGCAACTAGAGTGAGCTGTGAATCTCAGGGGCTCGTGGACCCCGGTGCCAACAACCGGAGCAGGGCAGGGGCACTGGGGACTGCTCCTGGGCAGACTTACTATCTAAGCCCAACAGCAGCAGTGACCCCATACATCGTGCATGCTGTATTGCACTAGCAGACTCCAATCCCAATCAGCAGAACAGAAGGAACAGAACTGGGCTGCCTGTGCGCTTCATGTTCGTCCGAGGGCTGTGGGTGTATAGGTGGGTGTGTAGGTGTGTGCTGATAAAGGCAGTGAAGGCAGTGCTTTCTCTGTGTGTTGCCCTGTCTGGCTGGGCAGAAGTGTAGCATGAGTGTGCACATGCTACCTCTAACATCCTTCTCATACACAGAGTAAATGCTTCAGGGAGCCACAACTTGGAGCAATACCCATGACTGCGAGACAGTAACTATATTTCCTTTCGGCTGATTGTCAGGACAAATATAATGACTGTGAGACCTTTGTGGAGAAGTCTCCCACGGTAATTTGTCAATGTTCCACCTACAGACATACTTTGATGTTAAACAAGAAAGTATCAGAAACATCACTCAATGCACTCAATAACGAGCATTACCAGCAAGTATCCTGCTCCTTTGATTAGACAAGCTGCAGATTGTTTCTCTCCAACTTTCGTGATTTTAAGCCAAGTCAAGCGCCTTTCCAAGTATGTTAGATAGCTTTGTTGCAATGTTCTTGTCTGATGCACTGATGCAGCATGCATTCATTAAAAATAAAATAAAAAAATCTTACCTCCAAGCTGTAGAGATATTTGAAACTGTTTTTCTGACTGGCTGCCTTTTCCACAGCTTGAGCTAATTTGACTGCTCCTCTACCACCAGCTGACCAGTGATTGCAGGGTACAGCATCAAATGCTCCGGATTGCTTTGCAATCTTACACACCAGATCAACCTCAGCAGGAGAGTCAGTTCTGCCAATCAAACAGTTCTGTCTCATTATTTTGTTTAATTAGTTCTGTTTCATGACGTTAAATAGCCTTATTCTACCATCAGCAGTTGTAAGGCAAGTCTGTAGAGAAATTGTGCCATATACATAATGCATTTATATACAGACTATGTATTTACATGTTTCAAGAACACTTTTTGTAATTGTTAAAGCTAATTAACACAGAAGATTAACATTTCCATAACAGTAAGGGGGTTTTTTGTGGTTTTAAAACCTTAAGAACAAGCTAAGGATTTAAAAGACTTTATATTCATGATGAAAAAAGGAAATTCTTTAATAGCGGCTTTTCTTCATGCCAAAACTGATTAATTTAAAAACCAAGAAAAGCGTGAAATTTGAACTGTGGATTTACTCACAAGAGAAATGAAAGAACAGACTTACTTGAAGACATTTAGAGCAACCACAACAGGAACTCCAAAGAGCTGAGTAATTTGAATCTGTTTCTGTAGATTACAGCAGCCATCAGCTACCAGCTGGAGGTTCTGCATAATTAAATAAAAATTAATGGAAATAGTGAGATACATCAAGTCTTCTCCCACAAAAGAATTTTCCATAAATTAAACTGAATATAAACAGTGCTGATCATGACAGCTGCAGACAAGTGAAATGCTTCCAGACAAAAATATTTTGGCACCTGTCCAGTTAATTCTTATTTCAATTAATAAGCATCAGACATATTTAAGTAACTAAGCGGTGCCCAAAATTTGTACACATTACGCATGTGTACACATTACGCATCTTTTCTTGGACACAATAAGACAGTGCAGCTGATGACTGGTTGCCTGTCATGATTGTGAAAGAGCTGTTAGTTTCTCGTTCACAAAGTTTATAAACAAACTACAGTAGTGAGGTGGGGTTTGACATACAGATCTGTTAGATGCATAGTCTAACCTATATATATATATTAAGCGATTAAAGCACATTACTGCATTTCTTTATTTACTCTTTTACCTCAGACTTTGTAGGCCTTGTCTTAATTGCAACAATACACACAGCCCTAGCCTGATAAAACCAAAAGATCAAAATTTGTCTTCAGTGAAGAGGCAAAGAAAACAAACCTGTAGAATCCACTCTTATTTGAAGTGTGACATCCAACACCAGACATGAAGCACAAACAGATTAAACGTATTCTTTAATGAACAGGTTAAGCTATCATTAATTTCAGGGAGTGTCTTTGACCTCTTCACCACTCTTCTCTCATGCTGCCATGAATACCTGTATGATGGACTGGAATGAAGAGCTGATCAGTCCGAAAACTTAGTGGTCCTGGAAAAACTACTGAAAAAAAGTTGTTTGTCAGTTAACTCAGTTCCTCAGTACAGTCTACCATACAGTCACACACACAGCCCATACAAGAGGGATAACACCAGGTGGCTGGGGAAGATGAGATGGCTTTACTTGTTGGCAATGCCAGTTATGTCAGCATGAGAGAATGCTATTGTCACACTTGAGGCTGCACACTGTGCAGCCAGAGGAATGGGCAGTTCTGATTCTCCATACACCACATTATTTTGACCTTTTAAACAAAAACTTCTCCTGAAGCTTTATAGTAGTTCCTCTTACCTCTTCTGTGTATTCTTTCTTCAAGGGGGCACCAGCAGTTACCTGGAATAATAAACAACTGAAGTTACCACAGATTGACACTTGTCCTAATTCTAAATGGTCAGAAGTGCACTTTTGCTTACTTCCTATACTGCCAGTCAGCACATACATTGCACACAACATCATAGCTCGACTGCATCTTCTGTTTTATTCCAAGTTACACCAGAACATGGAGAATGGCAGCACTTCCTATTGTATCTGGGTAGCAAGATACAGGCAGTGACTCAGCAACTAGTTGTAAAAGATTTATTAGAGCGGAGGTCATTGGATCCCATTCTACATGCTTAGTAACAGACCAGCTGTGCAAAGACAATGGACAGCAACCTCCAGCAGTGGGCTGAAGCAATAACACTAACACAGATGATGAAGAGGAACATCATCTTTGGGTGTCCTGTAATTACCGCCCATGGCAAGGAACTGCGTGCAAGTAATTTACTTTGCTGGAAAGCACAAAGGTGTACACACAAAGAGTATCACCAGGGTACTATATTGAGTCTCCAAGGACCAAATCTATCGATCCCAGGCACTGGACTTAGTCACTTTTGTTGCAAGCATTATTCTTGGTCCATTTTATAGTTAAACTCCCAGTTAAAGTCTCTGGTACTCTGCATGCTTCTATGACACACTATGTAAACAAATGAAAACTTTGTACTTCTAAAGACACAGATCAGACAGAAGTAGAGACAGTTATTAAGACATATTTAAGTCTTATTTTTGCTAGATTGAAGGATAATGCACATCACAATATAGCTGCCTTGATATGCATGGAGGAACACAATTAAAAATAAAGAAAACTTCCATTAGAAGTGGACTAAAATGATAGAAAATTATATAACTATGTCAACCTGAAAGACTGAAAAAGGACAGCTCAGCTTTAGCTCTAAGACATGATTAGCTGTAAGGAAGACTGTACATTCCAAAATTTTGTGGCTGTGGCAACAGCTCTGGTATTTTCACCCAGTGAGACTGTTTCCCTGGCAGCATCACTCCCTTGCATGCTGCTGGGCAGATGAAAGTGGTTCTAGAAGTTAAGTGTCTGTCCACTTGTTGTATGACTGAGGAGTAGTTCTACGATCAGGAATCTGTATAAGTCTCTTCGTGGCTTACATAGCGAAAAATGATACACTGGTGACTTCTGGTACACTGGGAAAACACTTGCACAATTGTATCAGTTACCTTAGCATCCCTGAGGGAATTAACTTCATCAGATTAAAAGGACAGAAGGGATTCCTATTATTGCAGCGAAAGAAATCTCAAAACCTTCACTAACAATGTTCCCTACTTCTGCTCACATACTGCAACCCAAACTCTTTTCATTCCTCCTCAGCTGCCAACTTTCCCAGCCGGCGATTTCTTCACTGCACTTACAAACACTATTTCAAAAGGCAGAAAGAAGAATGTATATACATATTATAGCTTTTTTTTTTTCCCCATGCAAACAAACTTCCCTCCCTCAGGAAGATTTAGTACTTCTTCAGAGCTCTCTCACCCTTCTTCTTTCATTTGTGCCTTTCCATTCCTGCATTAACTTTGGAGGTAACATCTATATAATGAGGTAACTCAGGATGGATATCTAAACACTGCCTCATAAACTACCCCCAGTATTTCTTAAACCAAGATATTTTAGTTATTTCAAATATTAGCAACAACTTTATTTCCCAAGAAAGGTGCAAAAACTTACATTTGGCCCACCTCCATGCATCTTCAAAGCCCTCACTGTAGCAACAAGTACAACCACACTGGGAACCAAGCCAGAGGCTCTACATTTGATGTTGAAGAATTTCTCCATCCCAATGTCAGCACCAAAGCCAGCTTCAGTTACTGTTAAACATTAAAAAAACAAAACAAAACCACACATAAAACATGCTTTCAGTTAAACACTGGGGGATATTTCTACTTAGCATACAGTGCACTTAAATATACACCAGTACTAAGTTTTGAATGAACTTTCAAATAGAGGTCTATTTACATTACTGAGTCTGATTAAAAAACTATTCCCAACTCAGAAATAAATTCTCTTATTCTTGATACATACAATATGTCACCAAAAGTAGTCACATGGGGGGAAACAGCCCCAAGCAATTCAAATTAGTTGAAATCGAAGTATTTTAAAAACATCTAGTCCTCTAAAATACCTATTTCTGTGTAATTGTATTTATTTAATATGTTCAAAATTCTTACAGATCTAAGACGTCCCTACATTACTCCTCCTCCCTTAATTTCACTGAAGATGTGCTCTCATCATAATTAATGGACCTAAATTCTCCTAGCTTTGCAGAACTTCTGATCATCTCTTGCCTTTGTGGAGCAGATGTTTAATTATAAACACAAACCAGCATTTACAGTCATGTCTCAGTGTTGAAGATACTATTAAACAGTAAATTCTATAATGCGACATTGCACCAAAGAAGTCAGACATTAATTTAATGTGAGTCATGAAAAAAATCCATGTAGAATTAGGATATGCCTGGCAAAGCATTTTTAGAAGAGCTATAAATAAAAGAGAAGATAATCTATATGAAATGATGTCAGTCTCTTCAGAACTAATTTGCTCTGATTTGTCAAATGTCAATTACTTCAATTGCTTCTTCTAAAACCCAAATAATTTCTTTCTATCAGACAAACACAAGCACACAGCAATTCAAAAATTCAAGGGCTTAAAACTCTGTTGGTTGAAAATTTGCCGATGCAACTATTTCCCACCAGAACATACTGAGGAGTTGGGATCAATGCGTGCCTCTGGAATATGTGAAGCGACTTTCAGCCAGACAAGTCATGGTGGGAAAATCTCTTGCTTCAGAGGCTCCTGGACCTGACTCCAAGCAGGGCTGGTAATGTGTCCCCATAACCCCAGCCAGTTTGTAAAAACTAGTAAATTCCCTTTTCTTTTTCTCCCTCTTGCCAGCAATTTTGACTCTCACGCTTAGAAGGGGACCACGAACAGCTGATTGAACATTTCAGGGCTGGAAACCTCCAGCAGGGTCAACGAGAGGAGGCGAAGATCAGCTCTGCTGCTGTGAGAGAAAGTATCTTTCTGTCAGCATCCGATGCGCTTCAGGAAGTTCCAGCCTTTGGGCATTTGTCCTCACCCCACTGGTCCTTTTGCACTCCTTCGTTTTGCACAGGCTGAAACAATTGCCCACACGGCTCTGCTCCGAGGGAGGAAACGGCTGCTGGGGCTGGGGGAGGAAGCAAGAGAAAGAAAACAAGGGGGTGGGCATACAGGAGGGAGCAGAGATCTCTTGAAATAGCAACATGGCAAGCGTCATGATTACCATTCTCCAAAATCATTCTATTAAGTATATTATCTTTTTCTGAATAGCCCTGAGAAAAACAGACGTACCAAACACAGAAACAAAAAAAAACCCACCCAAAAAAGTGGTTTACACAAACACAATAATTCACAGGAACAAAGCTAATGTCAGGATAAGTCATATTAAAAGCAGAGCCAGGGATCACATGTCTAGTTTCCAGTAACCCTCATTCTTCTTCTTCAGGCTCTTATGTGGCACAGTGTGATTAATGAGAACTCTGAGTCAGAAATATATAACCACGATCAATCTTTAATACAAACAACAGATAAACTACCAAGTACTTGAGAGGGTGGGAAAATAATTTGTCTCTTACAGAGATTGCCAGCGTATACACATAGCAGTCTCCTAACGTTTCCAAACAAAGTTTCCAGGGAGTTAATCCTTTTCATGCCAAGCCTTTTCAAGGATCAGTTTTCCTTAGAGAAAGGGGGATTGCAAGTCTACCTTTCAGTGAGAGAAAAGCAGAGATTTCAGCCTCCCAGCAAGCGCAGTAACAGCACACACGGCACTTCAGGGCTCTCAGGGAGGTGCTCGACACCCTCCAGTCTAAGCAGCCAGGACAAGTGCCCGGGAAAGCTGTGCGGGGGCATTTCTCTGGGTAGCTGGGCATATTCCTCTATTCTTTGTAATGCTTCCCTTTGATACGGAGAGAAAAACGCATATTTGCCCAAACAACCCAAATCCTGTATCAACATTTAAAAATTTAACAGAACACCAATGTTCACGGAGAGTGAGTGCTATAACATGGAGAATGGGATTTCCTCATCTGAAATGGAGGAAATTGAGAGGAACATTGGTGCTTTCTGCAATGTTCGGAAGGAAACAGGATGCAGCAGAAAAGCTGCCTGGATGAAAGTTGCTAACTCCGTTTTATTTCCTCTGAGGAATAGTGAGAAGATGGAGTAATATGCCAATCTATTACATTTTAAAGTCTTTGTGCTGAAACAGTTAATACAATTACATTCAGATTGTTTCCTGCTTTCATATGAAAGCATCAATGAAAAACAAATACAGACTTTAAATGGGAAGTTTCAAGCTAGTCTACGTTTAGAGATTATGAGACAAACCAACTCATCACTTCCAATGTAACAACAGAAATATAAAGTAATACACGGGTTGATTTATTTTGGTTATCATTTCTCTTACACCGTTTGTCAACAAAGGCAATTACAAATTACAGGTGAAGTGACAAAGATTTTGGGAACAACCATTACCTAAGCAGATGTGGTCTGCTGTACCTCAACTGAAGGAAAGTTGATGACGCAGCCTCTACTACCTGCCTACACAGAGCCTTCACCCAGCTTCAGCTCCTCTCCTCAAAAGCCTCTTCATCCTGTCCGCTACCAAGCGGCCATCTCCCAGCCCCGTGAACCTCCGCTACCTGGGCTGCTGCTCTGCAGACATGTGGAGGGGTTCTAATAGACATGATACCAGCATGATGTTAACTGCTTGCTTTGATTTCCCGGCCACAAACATGGCAGCCCTAATGAAAGTAAAGAGGTAACTGATCTGCCTTCAGCGAGCTCATAGAAAACATACAGGTATTTGCACTTCCAGCCTGAGAACATAACCCCATGGCAGCACATGCCTACCCAGATGAGGGGTTTTACAGCCCCAGGTCTTACTTTGCATTCCGGATCCCCTTCTTGCACTTGATAAGACTGTACAATGATCCAGACAAGTACTAAAAGATTATTTTCTGCGTGTAATTTTCAGTGAGTACAGCTCTCTGGACTGTCTCACTGCGTGGCCATACAAAGTGCGAAACCCAATTCTATAAATAATCTGTTGCTGGATTTTATCCTTCAATTTTACAGCCCAAGTAACACAAGAAACGTTAGAATGAAGATTAAAAATTAAAATTTCATGTAACAGCAGTGCACTACCACTACATGACTTTTAATAGTAAGCCATAGGTCAAATCTAGCATTTAATATACACATATATATCAGAAGTAAACTGCATCAAAATGACAAAGTAAGTTCAAATAACTTCTTCTCCTCTCATAAAAGATCCATGTGAGGGTGACCAAAAGCTAGTCTCATTCTAACAGATTAGGGTAACTGGGGAATCTCGCTTCAGAACAGTAGACAAAACACAACACACAATTCCTGTAGGTCTTTCTACAAGTCATTTACACAACTTCTATGTCACTCAGTTCAGCTACCAAAATGACTGATAAACCACAGTTTTTGTTCAGAGCAAGAACACAAAATATCCAAATTAGATAGTATTTGCCTCAAAAAAGTAAGGAAAAGCTCATAAATATGGAATTAGGCAACAGTGATGATGAGAAGTCTGTCGGGCGGTGTAAAGTCAGAGTAATTGATGCTCTTCACTGAATTCTCTAATTCCACTTCAAGGTTCACGCAAATGAACAATTCACTCTGATGGTTTTGTTTCTTGTTTATAATTACCATAAACTCTTCCTGGAATTACTGCCTTGCCAAGCACATCTGGGAATATTTTATCACCTACACATGACAATAGCTTAAATAGTCAGTGTCATGGTTTAAGCAGCTAATCAGATTTCATCGTCACGCTTAATACAAAATGCAGTTTTTCTCCGCCTAAAAATACATTTATCATGCTATAGCTGCATAAAATGGTTCCACATTAGCCTTACATTTACATACTGCCTAAAAGCCTTACAGAAAGTGATGTTTAGAATTTTTCTTTGAAGATATTTCACCCATAATTGAACTTCATGTAAACTAAGGGTAATTTCTAGTGAAAGTAGCTTCTCCCTAGTCAGCCCTTTCTATCAACAAATAAATGTCAAAATAGAACATTTGTACCATAAAGGGCCAAGTCAGATGTGGACACATGAGGCGAAGCTTTAGGACACAAATTGTGAGCCTGGATTCCTGAACAATGTAAAAGGAAATGGAAACTGAGCTGCAAGCTGCCATTTACTCCGCACACGTAAAACTATCTGTTCTGGTGCAGCTGTCTGCTGGTAAATGCAGGAAAATAAGAGTTCAAAGTCACAGAAGCACATGAACTGTGAACCTGGAGCTGGAGGCACGCTAGCTGTAAAGAACTGATACGTTCTTGTTTAAGTGAAAAATACCAAGGTTCACAACCGCCAAGATAAACTAGGATGATCAGTGATTTATCTAACAGGATATCGTATTTTTGTTAGTGTAGCTAGGGATGAAGAAACCAGATGTTTGTCCATTCTGACTCTGGCAATTTATCTGATGTGAACTTCCATTATTATGACTGATTTTGGAATGTAACAGACACTTCTTTTCCTCCTTTTCTTTTTTTCCTCTCTCCTAACAGCAGAATGCATTCTTCTGATGCATTCTCAGATGGCATGCAACAGGGCACTCGCTGCTACCACTGCTGGTCACAAAGTCCAACAGAAAACTACACATGCATTTATTAAGGCTAACCATCTTTCATGCCATGAAGAAAATAGTTTGCATCGGCTATCAAAGTTTTATGTTGTTGTTGTGAGGCCTAGGAGAAAAGGTAATAGGAAAAATATTTGCCACTTAG